ATCTCAATTGAACTAGACATCTCAGAACTACCGTAAACTGGACCATAAGTTTGGAACGAGAATGTGAAAGAGCATTGTTTGTATAGCGTGACCGTTCATAGTCATTAACTTCTACGAGGGACTTCCACACTTTGAAACAGACCAGCACAGTTGCCTGGATTAGCTTCATTGAACCTACCTGACTCACGGGACACCCTTAGCGATTTTTATAGCTCTGATTCCTGAAACTTACTTATCAACTTACGTTAGATGATATTGGACATTTTTAGGTAACTGTTATTTTGGATATTTATTATATAAATGTTTTTGAACTTACAGTCAGAGGTGTGTAATCGATTGACTACAGCGAACGAAGTTTTGAAATTTCTGTCAAGAATGTAGTTCAATTCAATGTCGTCATCGTCCAAGCCAAATGGACGCATAAGGTCCTGTCCCACCTGAAGATTATTTTGCCATCAAACAGTGCTCAGTCAAGACAACACAGCCAGAAGCTCACCTTGAACCATCCCACGAGGAACATGAATTGAATGACTGCAAACAGCGGTATGATAGAGTCGATCTGCCGTCCTGCTTCCACCTCAGAATGTAGCACTTGACGACCAAACAGCGTGAAGAAGAAGAACGAATAGGTCGCCAACGCAGTCACCTTAACTTCTACGTCAAATGCTTGTTGTGGAGAACTTTTGTTTGCTTAGAACTTAACCAATAATTGGTCGGAGATCAGCCGGAATAACAAACTCATTTCATTAGGTTGGTAGTACCTTCTACGATCAAAATCACCTCTATCCTACATAGATCAGAGCAGGTCTCCCAATCATTCTCTATATTCAGTTTTTGAGATATGGCACTTTCTTTATCCGTGAAGTCTCCAAAAACCATCATGTCGACTATCCATTTGCGTCCCTCTTTTCTATTTTCTCTTGTTTTTCTTTCCATTCATTGATCTTAGCGGATAATTCATAATGTGACTCTGAGTTTCCTTTTTTGGTGACATGCCAAGTGCCCCGTTGTTACAATCCCATACTCTACTATAATATCAGCGATATAGAAGGATAAGGTCTTTGACGTTGATCAATCCTGTCTTCGGTTGCACCTCGCAATCAACTCGCATTCAGAATCATAGTGTTGGATTGAATGCATACGCTAATGACTTACCGTGACCAGCCAATGTAGAAGTCACTGCTTTTATTTTCCCAAACGAGTCTGGTACTAACTGACCGAGCCTGGAGGGATGAAGGCTTGGATGGCCTTGGCGAATATATTAGGTTGGCGCATAATCATTGCGGATTTTTTTTTAGGAAATTTTATTTTGAAAAATGACATAAATATTTAACTAGGACATGTTCCGATAATTATGCACTCCGGAACAAGTCCACCGTCTACGTCAGGCACTGCTTCCCATTTGCTAGACAGCCGAATTTCACAAGCGTAGAAGTTTCGTTCTTGGAGGCGATCAACGCCTTGACGTCGGCCATCAAGTCATCCATCTCCCCGAAAGTTCTGTTTGCTAGCCAATTTTCAGCGGATGGTTGACGTGATAACCCATAAGAGTTTCTGTTGGCAAATAGAGTGAACGTAGAAGCAGATTCCATTCCTTATACGAATTTAGCTGACTGTTCCATCGACGAGAAATTCGTTGAGATCACTTTATGAGTGTGCCACCTTTCAACTTCTCTCGAAGTGATAGGGCATAATGTGGCAAAGACGACTTTTTAGACATATTCCTGTTGAGCGAAGCGAGAAGGTTATTTCTCTGAAAATCCCGAATTCATCATTGACACTGTATGGAAAGGAAAGAAGTCGCGAAAAATCCGCAATAATTATGCATCAACCTATTGCATTTGGGATCCAATCCCTGGACCGTGTGTGTGTGATAGTGATAGTCACATGTCACCAAGTCACTCCCACCCATAATAGTGACAGTAATATTGACACTTGCAATAATTCCTTATGATCTGATGTTCTTGTTTGATAAGCTCCTATTGGAACCTATGGTTTTGTCGCTTGATNGGGTAACCCACAGGTCAGGGGCTCCGAATTACCGTCAACCCACCAAAGGACCCTATCATAACAAACCTGTACGGCAAAGCAGTGTCAAAAACTATGCTCATCACTACTATAATTATAACTAAAACTTCAATAAGCTCTAATAGTAGTAATAACAATAATTTTCGGTAAAAAAAATTGATTTCAGCCATCCCATAACCAATTATCGCACCAACTCATATCTTCTGCTATCATGCCAAGTTCATCTTGCCTGTACCTGTCTCTGCAGTATTCGTTTCTAGGGACAACTTGTTCTATGATTTATTTGATTATGAAGTTAACTCCGATTCATTCCTTCGCAATTTTGCCAATGTTTTTGACTTAATGTTATCAGCAAATTACATTACTTTGTCTTTCGTAGCCTTCCCTCTCTCACCCTCGAGGAGAACAACAGTTTTTCTTGTTGAGAAAGTCTTACTACAACCCAAAACTTGCCCAATAAACAATCGCGGTGTCAATGCAACTTTTTGTTGCCGAACAATCCTAACCTCTGGTCCAATATATACGGCCGCTACCTGTGTTGTTCCAAAGTGGAAAAGACGCTGAAGCATTCCCTACAGCTTGAGTGTGTCCCTTACATCTACTTACTGCATGAGTAGTTTTAAATTTCGTAGAGACATTACACAAGTGCACAATGGACACCTATCGCCTCACCTGAGTATAAACGAGAGGGACGCAAACCCAATCGTAGCAAAAAAGCTTGCGCAATGATTGCCGGTAGGTCCTCAGCTCAGTCATGAAATTGTTAATGAAAGCCGCCGGCGGATTGTTTTCCTGAAATTATGCGGATTTTCTACACAAGCGACAAAAGTTCATTAAGAAAAATCAGATGGACAACTCAGCGAATCGTTCTCCGGAAAAATTGTCCAGAGATAAATCTTTCGTCAAAATCGAGAGACCAACAAACCTTTTCTTCTTTAACGATTAAATGTTGAATCCAGTGAAGCGGTGCCATCCATCGTACAGTTTCGCAGTCCTCCTAAAGTTTCAACTTCAGAAAGTTCAACTATACAACATCAAGGAAACCTGACCAGCATTGAGTCGGAGGAAATTTTTGGAGGCCTTTGGTGAAAGTATGACTGAGTGGTCCACAAGGGGAAGGGATTCGTTGTTAACTACAAATCACTTCAGATTGATAGAAGGCTCATTCAGTCTGCTTTAGGTTGGTAGAAGGCCCATTCAGTCTAAAAAACAACTGATCGACGTCCAGTTTCTTCAGATCCAAATTGTAGGGGGGACGGTCAAGTCGTGCGTCCGAGGGTGCGCGCGGCAAATTGCGCGGCGAAACCCATACCTATTCTGACGACTATAGCGCCTATTATTTGGGCCCAGTTTCGTAGTACAGTAGAACAGTAGGATCAGCTGGCCTCACTAATCTCCCTTACTTCAGATTTGGGCCCCAATGATAGACGCCGGAGTCGTCCAAATTCACCACGAAC